TTGTAAAACGGGAATAATAGATGTAAAACTACCATGAAAAACCAATATACTTTTAAACCAATATAAGCAATAATATAAAAACTATCTATATAAAATAAAAAATAACTTTCTGGTCTGAGAGCCAATTACTTCTTATAATGTACAAAAAAGAAAAGTAATCTGATTCAAATTATATAGTGACATTGAAATTTTATTAAATCCATAATCAATTTTTTTTCGAAGTAACGTTTCGTTATCGATATAGATGAAACAGAAAATCCCGAGTATTAATATTGTTGAAATGATACTAAATTTGTATTAGCTAAATTTTTTTAAAGCCTTGTTAAATGACAAAGATAGTAATCTTATATCGGAAATTCTTTTAAAGCAGAGGTTATAAAATGGCCTTTTTATTCATTTTTAAATATCTTGAATTGTGTAATATTAAAATATTCGGGATTACGTATATATACTGTATTTTTCAATACGTACCACGTGTATGTATATGCGTGAAAGATATCAAATTTTGTAATCAAAATGATCAGATAAGACTCCCAAAATGGAACAACGTAATGCACGTTCCTTGTTTTTGGAAACACAAAGCCGGTGCGTATGTACATGGAGCTGGTTGAGACTAAAAATCGGGAACGTGGCACAATCTTTTATTGTGTCCATTTATAGACTAGTGAGTTACAATTTTGGAATTAGGTTAACATATTTTGTCAGTGGGACAATGCTAAGCGTTCCAATAAATATGTGACCAACCAAAAGTTTTACAACACGCCAAATTACATAAGTTGTAATAGCTTTTTTTGTTAAAAAGCTAGTCATTCATTTGACTAGCATAACGATAATTATAAGGATTAATATTTTTAAAAATAGATCTTGTTTCAAATCTTAGAAATCGTATTGTCGAATGTTTTACAGACATTTCATGGCTGAAGTTTTAACACATACATGTCAAAGACTCAATACTAATTATTTGCTAGGTGCAGAACGTATGTAAAGAGTACAGTTTCGTTTCAAAGAACAGCAATCATTTGAAATCATTAATATTTATTCTACGAAATGTATCCTGAATAATTATTACATTGTGATTGGTCCCACCCTTTATTAATTTTAATAATGCATATAAAGTTTATTACGGAAACAGTTAATTAACTTATGTGCACTTCTAAAATAGTATATTCAACAATAATAGTTTAATTTATAGTGAATACAATGCCACAGTGCTCATAATTTAAATATATTCTTAGTATTTAATTTATTCATTTAAGTTAATAAATGTTAATAAAAATCATAACATATATATATTAGAAAAGGCAAATATTTTCAGTTAATTCGTTTGGTTCATAGTACTTATCATTGCATATAGAAACAATCTTCCCAATACTTCATATTACATAATAATTAAACATATTTATGAACTAAAAAACCTTTTAATTATAAATTTTTTACATACGAATAACGCATTCTTATTTGCTTATTAAAATTACACTTTTATACCATCATATGTGGATACTATATACTTTACACGCTAAAAATAATAAACTCTAAATACAGTAAATTAATCAATACGAAATGAAAAAATTTCTAACCCATTACTCTAATTCATATAAAATATGCTTGCTAATAAAAATAAACCAATAATAAAAATAAAAAATATATATAAATATAAATGAAAAAAAAAAAAAAATTTAAAATAAAAGAAAACTTATACTTTATGTAAAATAATTCAAATGATGGTTCAAATCATTCAAATTCAAATTACTCAAATCAAGAATATCACATAATTGTTCTGGATCCAATGCACCAAAATCAAGATCCGCATTTGATTGGAAGGGATTATAATTTAAAGTTGTAATTGAATAACTACCAAAATCTTGTGGTAAAGTTATGTCATTACTAATATTTTCATTTGAACTAAATGGTAAAATTTCAGTTGACTGAATTTCATAGTCAAAATAAGTAACTTGATTTGTTTCAAATTGGTCATTCGCCTGAAATAAATCATTCAGGGAATTCAAATATTGCGATTCAGTTGCAAATTGTGTTTCTTGAAGCATATTTACTGATTCAAAACTTTCTTGAGGAATAGTTTCATTCAAAGAAGGATGTGGTTCACTGAATGCTACAATAGATGATAAAAGTGACCATGGCCTTAATGATTCTTTTTCAGATTTGACAGGCATAATCCTAAGTGCTTTTTTTCCTCTTTCTTTCGACTTTGGTATAAATTTATAATCTGGGAAAATATCACGGTGGACGCGATTACAAAGTTCTGCTAATATAGTGTAACGATTTTTTGTTTCGTCTGAAGCATTTGCCCATCTTTCTCCAACAATTTTGGAAATTTGTTCGAGTTTTACACTTGGATTTTCTTTGATAATTTCACTTTGAATATCCTTTCGGTACAAGATAAATGCATTTTGAGGTCGTGTAATTCTATCTCGTTTTCCTCGAGTTTTTTTACAAGGAGCTAAAAGTTGTTCGATTGTATGCTTAAAATTAAAATCATTTTTGTTGGAAAAAAACCCTGGAAGATTACTTTCAATTGCGAGTTTAAATTTTTCTTTAAATTCAGCAGTTTCAAAATAATGAATATTTTTTTTTCTTCGCAATTTAATAGATTTTACAG